ACGTACGATTCCATCGCCAAGTTCTCCCCTAGATTGTCAGCAGACGGACACATTTTGGTCCAAGAAACAATTCCATTCGAATCATTCGATGCAGTTTGGTATTACGACTGGAGGGAAAAGGACTACTACCGTCTCATGATCACAAAGGGAAGAGATCAACTTGTCCTTTCTGTGCAAGGAGCAAAGAGGGTGGCCACCATTGAACGATTTGACAAGCTCATTGGGAACATTGTGCCTGATGAATCATCACCCGATCTGGACGAACTTCGAAAACTTGTCGATATCAGGACCGGTCACTTCAGTCATACTCACAGATTGTTCCCTGGACATCCGGATTGGAATGATGCAATATCATTGTTGGCAGTCACTCATCATCCCAGCAAGGAGGACCATCGACTATGCCCCGCATGTCTGATGGAGACCCCTGCGCCATTATCGATTTGTGTGATGTGCAAAGGATTTTTGGTGAGTCATGGATGGAGGAAACGAATCAAGATCACCGTGGCTACAGTACCAAGTGCCGAATCACATCATCGAGAAGAAGATCTCAAAGACCATGTCAAGAAAGCATGGGAGGAGGTGAAGATCGATTTGACAGGTGATGGTGATGACGACGAGGTGATGCCAGATGATGATGACGTCACCATGAAGAGTCCAGAACAAGAAACTCAACCAGAAGAAGGAGATGATGATCAAGCCTCGAAGAAGGGCGACATCAATGATGAGAAAAGAGACTTCAGAGAACAAGATGAGGTCGACAAATTTCTCAATCAAGAAGGAAAACCGACCGACGAGAACGACGATGAAGAGATAGCGGTCGATGAAATCAACATTGAAGAGTACGAGGCTGGAGAAGCTCGTGATGCAGTGATTGAGTTCCCCAAGTGGATGAAGCGGATTGAGTTTGGATCAAAGGTCCTACCAATCGAGCCTTGCACAATTGGAGATGCTCAGCCGGAGCTCATCAAGATCCTCCTGTTGCAGATTGGATTACATATCGTCAGGATCTACAGACTATTCCAACGGAACTTCTGTGGAGATATCGAGACGGCATGGAAACATTTTCAACAGAACCAGAAATTCAGGATGGACCTGGACTCAAGAGTGCCTTACCTAGGCGAGGATGAAAATGGTGAACTCATTGAACCAACTGCACAACAGATGAAAGAGCTCTACAAAGAGATCGGCCGACCAAATCAAAAGGACGACATCGGAGAAGAGGGATTCGTCAATGCATATTATGGGGCAGTGGTACTCAAGCGACTTCTCATATATACCCTTGAATGTGGCTACACGTATGATGACTTGCAAAATATCTTCTTTGACGAGGAGATGGAGAAGCTGTCGAAACGTGACACAACAATGGATGAGATGAGAAAGACCACAGCGGCCCGCGAAGCCCTTGACCGACAAGACGTCATGGTCAGAAGAATCATTGCAGGAGCATATAGGGTGAATGCTGTTTATTTCTTCAGGAACGTCGACTTTCAAGACACAATCACACTGAACCCAGTTGAAATTGTGTGTGCTCTTCGTCCCCCACTTCGAAGAATATCACTTTTACACCTGATCCTTCAAAATGGCCGGCAATTGCCACGACCTCTACTCCAGAAGCTATATGATGCAATCGATGACTACAATCACATCAAGCAACGGGAAGATCAACGACCAAGGTGGGGCATCCACATGACTGACGCCCATATACTTGCGATTGCTGATACCCCAACTCCTGCTGATCGTGAACGTACCAACCCAGCCGCTGGCAAGTCGAAAGCAGCTCCAAAAGCAGCACCAGCATTGGGAAGAGTGTCAAAAGCGAAAGCATCATCGTCAGCAACATGGAGAACAGTTGAAACCGCACCTCCGCCAAAACAAGCTCCAGTGACCCCGCCAAAGAAGGGTGGAAAAGATCAAGGAAAAGGTGGAAAATCTTATTCACACCGTGGCGGAGACTGGAACCAACAGGGATACTATGGGTGGGGTTATAGATGATTATTCGATATGACCTCTGCATAGGTCCTGATTGAACCTGGCGATACGAGGATGCAATCATTGCTCGAGATTTACCTCTACTTCATTTCGAATGATTTCTGAGAGGACTCTGAGCCGGCTAATTTAGAACCACACATTTTTTTTTGAACATCATTGCACGAGACGCTGAGTTTCTACAGCGGTCTACATCTCAACCGACGAAGGAACGGGAAGGTAAACTTCTAATTCCATAGTCAACTTTGTGTTTTTGATTTCTTTAATTCACATGCTTGAGTGAGACTCCATGCTGGCTACGCCACATCGGATGAACCTCAATGCTAGACACCGACTACGTCGTGTCTACATGCACGTGAACAGAACCTTTATCTTTTGGTAGAGATCGTAGCAAGCCGCCTTGTAGATTAGAAGTTCTGAACGGACTTTAGCTCTCCATAATTCAATAAATGAACAGCTGCGAGTGTAGTGGATCAATTCAAAGAACACTCCTTTGCGCGCAGCCAACAAAGTTGGCTGTGCGTGGGGGGTGCGAATAGAGTGTAGGCTACGGACCATTGTATATTATCACAATTAGACACTCTAGGATCCAGTACCAAAGGGGCACTTCAAACTGGCCTCTTTGGCTCAAGACCCACTGCAGCACTGGAGTAAAGAACAGCAATGCGGAAGCTGATGCCCGTGTAACGTCAGCACTGGAGCAATCACTTCAACACTAAGTACCAGGACATAATCGGACAGGCAATCCCCGATTCGCAATAATATATTATATATATATGTTTTGTATATATAAAAAATAATATATATATATATAAATATTATAATATACACACTATCCCTGACTATCACCCTCTGGGAAATTGAGTCAACAGGGTCAAAAACATCAAGCAGAACAAATGCCTGGAAAAGTTGGGGAGATACGGAGGGGATGGCGAAATATAGTTAATATAGTCTTACCACAGAGTGTGCAGCAATACTTCCATCCAATCCAACAACAGGCGACAAATGAGGGATCCCAAAGACCTTCATGCATCAATACGAGACCAAAGAGGGTTGGACTGAACGTTTAATTTCTCAAAGAATTGATGATTCCAACCCCCAATTTTTTTTATTTGACAACCATAAACTTGGGGGACCCATCCCCACTTTGCAGACACACCCAGAATTCATAATATTGTTGATTAGTTATAGTTGTATCCCATTAGGTTTTAATTACAGTACTTATTTTGTTTACGTATATACAAAAACACACCACTATACCCAATGATGGATATTACATATTTCAATTACGAGAAGTTATACTTTATTTTACTGGCAGTTTAATCCCAACTAACTATATGCAGCGACACATTCCCAAAACCATTTCATATATTGCTGGTCACGTATATCCCGTCTATACTTCCATTATCCATGTTCCAAAGATACACCGTCCCCCAATGACATAGGCCTGCCATTTTCTTGGGGTTCCAAGACTAGCTTCCAAAAAAACAACACATTTTCAGGGTTTAATTTGGGGGAGGGCATCCCCCATTTTTTTTGTATAAAATATGTAATGTAATGTAATGCAATGTAATGTAATGTAATGGAATGTAATCTAATGTAATGGTAAATCTAATGGTAAATGTAATGGTAAATGTAACGGTAAATGTAATGGTAAATGTCATGGTAAATGTAATGGTAAATGTATTGGTAAATGTATTGGTAATGTAATGATTAATGTAATGGTTAATGTAATGTAATGTAATGCAATGCAATGTAATGGAATGGAATGGAATGGAATGGAATGTATATATGTATATATGTATGTATGTACATATGTCTGTATGTATATAATTGTGTGTATATATAACTGTGTATATATATATATAATTATATATATATATACATTCAGATGAGTGCTTACTTAGGTATACATATCCCATTTATATTATATATCCATATTCCAACGATACTTCTCTAAGAGGGAACGGAGAAACCCCCACAGAGCTCAATTCCAAAAAACAGGTGATCTGCGACGACGCGTTGAAGAGCCGCGAACCCCAGTGGATATCATGGAAACTGGTGATTTAACGGCTAAAAATGGTGATTCACTGGGATGTGAATGGGATATACCCTGGGGTAGACATACAAAAAGATGTGGAAAAACCTTGGTTTCCATTGTAAAACAACGATCTGCAAAATGGTGGCTGTTCCACATCTTTTTGTATGTTCCAGGGTGTTTTTCGTGGTTTCACTGGCGATAGTTGAGGTTTGATAAATCATCCAACCAACCTATAGCGGCTAGCAATTTACCGAACGATTTGCTGGAGAATCCTCCAATTTAGTTTGGTCTGACTTTACGTTCCTTTTTTGACACCTCCATTGAGTTTGAGGATGTCACTTGGCCACAGGCAGACGATTCCAAGACAAGTCGGTGCGACTGCTCAGTCACTGTGAGTAGCTCCTGGAAGCCTGGGGATTTCAATGGATTTCATGGTATATTCTGATGAAAGCACATACACAAATCGCGATTCCATCAGATTTCACCAACAATCATGGGCTATCCAACCATTTATTGTAAGTGGATATACATATATATATATATTATATACACGTATATATTAGATGTGACCAGAAAGAATCAAGATGCGGTTTTGTCCAGAAACGGGGCAGTCTTATCTCCAAGTCAAGACTGCTTTCATTAGGACAATTTTGCACCATGGGATTTTGAGGTAAATTCTTCGGGCCTTTGCAACGTCTGAAATTGATGATATGTTGTGAAAAGGCCTGCTGATTGGGTGATCCCCGCAAAATGAAACCCATCTCCAGTTTTCTTTTTGTTGACTATTAAAGCCACCATCGTGTTTCTCAGGCAGTTCAGCCTTGAAATAGTTCAAGTTCGGGGATTGGATTAGTGTAACATAGTATAACTACTTGGGGTACTATACATTGTTACACTATCCTTCAACTTGGAGACATCGTAATGGAGCTGGGAATCCCGTTCTTAACATCCCAATGAGGTGCTCAGAAACCGGATGCCCAGGAGCCCGAAGCGGGGCTGCAACCTGGAAAATCACCTCTTTTCTCGAAGTAAAGTGAAGTGGTTTAGCAAGTCACCGCTGTCAGTATCTCCTTTTGGTAGGACCATTTTGGTATGTGAAATTACCGGTAAATGTTTGATGTCTCTTTCTGCCAATGGAATTCACCGTCATGTGAAGCCAGAACCATCTTGAGATATTGCTGCCTTGCCGACTTTCGGTATGTGCGGTTACTGTAGGAAGTCAAGCCGTTGGCTTATAATTACTCGCATGGTACACTGGGTCATGCTCAAACTTATGCCAAAGTGGCTGATACATGAACACATAGAAGCTAGGTCAACAAAAATGATGGCCTTTGGTAATCAAACATAGCAATTGAACATCACCCATTTACAGATCCATTTACTGATCCACTTTGCGCAGGATGCCGGAGGCTGGTCTGACTCGCGGTTTGTATCTCCAACTTTTGAGGATAACACACTGCTAACATGCCCCGAAAAATCGATCTTGATAAAATCCTAGAAAAATCGTGGTAAATCTCAAAGCTGTTCCATCTGGTAACCAGAGTTGCTGGGTCCAACCTCACCTTTGCCAACCTGGTGGTGGCAGGTGGCAAGTCAGCTCAGTGGGGCGGCCCAGAGTGCGAACACGCAAGATGTAACCACGAAAAGGATGCAGACGCACGGACTCGGACTCCACCAGAGGGGTGACCAGCATCAGCTTCGATCAATTTCGATCCCTTGAAAAGATCGCCACATCCATTCATGGACAGCAGACCATTCGTGGATCTCTTTTATGTTTTTGCCAAGTTCTGGTTTTTTTCATGGCTTGATTTCAAGTGGCTGTTTTTTATGTCATGGGCCCCCTCCAACTGTGATATTTTTGACCCTAGGATGAAAGCTGCGAAAGCCTCCGTAGCACTGCCGAAAGCCTCCGTGGCTGCGCCGAGGCGAGGCCATTTTCATGACGACATCACGACATCAGAATGTTAAGAATGATGAAACGAACTCATACTATATATATATATATTCATCTAATTATTGTTATCAAAAATCAGGCAATCATTATTATCATCATATGTTTTTTCATTATTATGGTGGGATAGCTATATATCATATATATATAATATATATAATATATATATAAGTATCATATCATATCATATATGGTTCATCTCACCATAGCTGTTGCTTCAACGTTTTATACCACGCTTCCGAGTAACTTTGAGTATCAGCTGTCAGGTGGCAGCCCAAAGGATCCCCTTTGCCGCCTGGAAGGGGACCTCAGTGCTGACTTTGATGCCATAGGGCCAGGAGATGCCTATCCATATACTATATGTATACATATGTATAAAGATAGATAGATAGATAGATAGATAGATAGATAGATATATATATGTATGTATCCACTCATAAGGGGTAAGAAAAACCCGGTAATACAGGAATTCCTGATGGTGGTGGGATGACCATGAATCTTTAGTTTGAAGTTTGACCCCAACATTCCGGAGACCAGAAAGATTGCCAAGCAATACACGTCATTTCAGAGTTGTTGGGCTTTGGATGTCCACTGCTTTCTTGACATTACCCTCTGGCAATTTAACATAGCTATTGAACATGGACCATTTATAGTTGATTTAAGAAAATAGAAAACGGTGGATCTTTCCATAGTTTTTTGTATGTTTACCAGGGGCTACTTATTGCTCCCAAAAGGATTCAAAATCATCTGGTTGCTGGTTTCAAACATTTTTTCCATTTCCCATTTCATATATGGGATATATAATCCTTCCCATTGACCAACTCCATCATATTTCAAGATGGTTACCGATGCACCGAGGTCATAGCGAGGGAGGAGATGAAGGTCAGAGATTCAAAGTGTGGGTTTCCTATTGGTTAATATAGGTAATATAGGGTGGTTTTCTATTTTCTAATGATCAGTGAAAATACTGGATCAGAGAATACTGGATCATTCTCAAGCAACTTTCCCATGATCCAGAATTGAGTCTTGCAGCCAACTTTTCGGGGGCGCAGCATCATTCTGTGCAAGAAAATGATCTGGCAATATTCAAAAATCAGCTTCCGGATGTCGCGGAAGCGGCAACTCCTCCATTTTGTGCTTGGAGTTGCTGTGCCGAATTTGTTCCCGCCTGGCCCTGAGGTGAAGATGGAGAGGACGATGCGAAGGAGGACGAGGAGGATGACGAAGAAGACGAACAGACTCCTTCCGTTTCGGAGGACACGAAAGAGTCCAAGGAGTCCAAGGAAGAAACAGAAAAGGACAAAGCCACTGAAGCAGCCCCAGAGGTGCGGCTGTGAAATCTGGCCAGGTTTGGAAGAATAATATCATCATGTATCCTCTCATGTATATCATATATATATAATATTTATTTACTTATTTATTTATTTATTTATTTATTTATTATTTATTCATTATTTATTTATTTATTTATTTATTTATTCTGGCGCGCAGATAAATGTGCTCAATACTCATGCATGTACCTGCATAGGTATTAGGTCGAAACAAAAACAGGGGGACAGTACCACACCCCCACCACACCACAGGGGGGAGGGGGACAGTACTATGGCTGACCCATGACCATGGCGGGGGGGCGGAGGGGGGTTGGAACGCTGGACCATATATATATATATATATATATACACACACACACACACTAGATACAGACACATGCTAGGAAGGCAAGTGTCCCGTATTTTGTTCTTTTGACCCACAGGCCTTAAGCTATGAAAGTTGGGGATTACCATCAACAAAGGGGTGTCCCATGATTCGAAGCCCTGGCCCAGGCCACTCCCACTCTGGTGCCCAAGGAAGCCCCGCCTAAGGCAGAGCCGCCACCCGAGCCGGCTCCGCCCCAACCGGCCCTCACCCCGCCTGCCACGGCCCCAGCGCCAGCCACACCAGCGGAGCCCGTACCTGCGGTGCCTGCTGCGAAGGAGCCGAAGGTCCCTCCCGTGAAGGCCAAGCCTGTGGGTGCTGGAGAGATGTCACCACCCCCGAAAGGTGGATCACGACCGTTGCCCCCTCCGCCAAAGACGGTGGCGCCGGTCAAACCGGGGGATGTGTCAAAGGCAAAGGCCAAGGCAGAGCCAAAGGCCGGGGTTGGGAGTACACCTTGACAGATGCACCATTCTTAGGTCAACGTGTTTGTTTCTTGGGCCCGAGTTTTCTTGTTTTTCAAAGATATGGCAACCTTGGATGGGTAAGGGTAGCTACAAATGGGGATATTATACATATGTATATATATATATATACACGATTACCAGCTGTTTGCGTATTTTGTTGGCTTTATTGTTGGATACTGTAAATCCCTCAGTATATGCAATCATTACTTCTACTTGGGTATACAAAACCCACGAAATATCTGGTGATCAAACATGGCAATGGAAAATCCACCATTTATAGTTTGTTTTGCCATTAAAACTTCCATTCAGTTTGGGGATTTCCCAGCTAGCCAAGTTTGATGACACCGGAGGGTATATCCCAGTTATTATCTCAATTCTTATCCCAATTATTATCCAATGAATATTAACCCCATTAATCATCCCATACAATACCATTAACAGTAGTATTACTCATCCCATGATTATCCCTGCTAAACATTTATTAAACCATATAAAACCGTATAAAACCATACAAAACCGTATAGAACCGTAAAAAACCATTTTACACTCCAATATTCTCCCATTATTATCCGATTATGATCCCTGTAAAACCATATAAAACCACATTATTCTCCCAATATTCTCTTATTTTTGTTGGTGAAACTGGCGCCGTTCAGGAAGCAGAGGCGAAGATCAGCGTGCCTGCACCACCCAGCGGTCCTGCACCGCCGCCGCCAGAGTTGGCCAAGGCGGGACCAAAGATATGAAATGTTAAATAGAATATATATATACACATAATATACAGATATTGTGTAGTATATCATATTCTATTTTACTTTATTTTACTTTATTTTACTTTATTTTACTTTATTCTATTCTATTCGATCCTAATATATACTATATTATATTCTATTCTATTTTTCGATTCTATTCTGTTTTATTGTATTAATGTATTATATTTTATTTGACTACATTTTATTACATTACATTATATATGTAATGGTAACAATAATGCTGATAATAATATATTATACGCTATATTATATGGAATTATGTTATATTGTATTATGTTCTGTTATATGATGTAATATTACTATATTACACTATATCAGAGTTGATATTGATGTTTAGAAGTGTATTTATATGTTATATTTATAGCTACATTTATGTTTGTACTTATTCTATTGTAATACACTTTATTTTATTATGTTATGTATTGCTATGTAATTTTTCTTATGTTATATTATGTTCTATAATTATATTTGCAATATTATATTATAATGTCATTACTTGTCTATACTAATATTATATTACATTATACACCATTGTCTTATCATATCATATCACATTACATTATATTATATATATGATATCATATCAGATTATATTATATCACATCATATTACATTACATTATAGTACGTTATATTAATTATATTGTATTGCATAGTAATATTATAATATAATACAATATGATATAATATAAAATAATATAATATAATATCATATTATATCATACTATATTTTATCATAGCACATTATTTCATATGATTTCAGATTATATAATATCATATGATTTTCGCTTATATTGCATTATGTCATTTTATATTTTGTTTTACTTTGTTATATTACCTTTTACTATATATGATGCATATTATGATCTAAGGTATTATTATACTGTACAATGTCATGTCATCTCATATCATATTTATTGTCTTTTGTTCATATCATATTTTATTTTGTAATGTAATTTCATATAATCTATAGATTATATGGCACTGCAGTATATTATGTTTTGTCGTATTCTATCAAGTTTATCTATGTTATGTCATATTGTACTAGAACCATATTGCATCATATGATATATTACATCACATTACATCACATTACATCATATGACATTATATTACATCACATTACATCATATTACATAATATTAGATTAGATCATATTACATCATATTATATTATTTGCAACGCATTGTCATTCATGATCATTCAAGATATTACTTATTGATCTCAAAATACAACCATTTACATCTCCGGTTGTCCACGGTTGGGGAAGTCAAACCCCGAGGCGCCTAGCCAAGGATGATGTCGTCAGGACGCCGTGGTGAATCAATGGTGGCCATAAAATCCTTTTAATGGCCCAGCTTAATGATAAATAACTAGTCAAGTAATAACAACCGTGAATAATGGTGAATAATGGTGAAAAAAGATGAATAATGGTGAATAATGGTGAATAATATAACTGGACATTAACCACAGTGACTTTGCCATAGTGTGAATATCATGTCTGAGCCATATTTGGCTTAAAGTATCACCCTATTTTCAAGACTAACCCATATGGAGGTTTCCTAAGTCATGGGGGTTACCCCCAAATCATCTAAGTCATTAGACCATGACTTAGTATTCAAACCTATGGTGACTGGGAGAACCACCATTTTGAGAATCCCCCCATATAGATGGATTATTAATATAATGCTGATTAAGACATACATTGATATTAAGCATGGTCTTATTTTTCACCATATTACCTAATATCTAGTATGATAGATAACTTTAACTTTAACACTATGCCAAATATCAATAGATATTGGATTAACAGTGTTAAAATTAACAGACAAAACATCCATATTCAGGTTAAGCAAGGGTAAACATATTCATTTTTTCCCATGATTGATATCCATTTTTTTGAAGCTAATATTAGCGGTTGAACATGGGATAATGTTGGACAATTCATGATACGGGATTTAACCAGAAAATTCTAAATGTCATGGGGACCGGATGGAGGATTCTCTATCACCCCTAAGAAAATCGAAACTTAGCACTGGGAAATTTGATGGGGATTCAACGACCCTCTTCGCATTGCGGTGACCCAGCTGCAGGATGCAAAATGTGAGCCCTTTGAATCAAGGCCTGCCACTCTGAGGGTTGAACCCATGGGTCAACCTTCGGCTGGATGGACCCTGCCACCCAGAAAGTCATGAAACTCATTGGTTGGTTGCCTCTCTGGGCATCAACAAAGGACTTGTTGTTGGGCTGGCAGGAGGCATTCCATCTTGAAAAGATTTATGTTTCAACTGCTCACCTGGATCGAAAAGATTTGCTGGGTGTTGAGATGTATAAAATGCAGCCAGACTTCTTCAGGCTCGTGGGGCAAAAAGCAGTCCCGCTCTGAAGAGAACTCTCCGACCTGCGGACAAGTTCTGAGTTCTGACACAATAAGATAGACCCCATGACTTATGGCCATCAAACAATAGGCAAGATGATGGTCAACCATCAAATTAGGGGCACCCTGTTTTCAGGCAAACCCAACTGAGTTCCACTGTGGCGATTGTTTCTGGCTGCATCACCAAGTAAAACCGATGGGTTTTGGTGACCTGTTCGCGAAAAGGTCAGAGTTTGGAATCACACTTCCCTGTGATTCCATTAGAGTTTGGCTTCAGATTGGCTTCATTAAACCCGGCTACAGAGACACAAAATGAACGGAGGCGGCTGCGAGCTCGGCCACGATGGGGGAAAACCCGCGCGGCCACTTTGGATGATCGAAGCAGGTTTTTTTTCAGCTGCAGGCAGTCATCATTTCCTGCGGTGCTCCAGACTCCTTTGAGGTTTACGAGGTCGGGAGCTCCGGCAACGCCTAAGGCATCTATAGATATCTATAGATACTTGTAATTAGGTTTGAAAATTGGGTTTTCAGAATGCGGGGACCCTATTTTTAGCCCGAACCACCAAATTCGTTACTACATGTTACTACGAGATTTTCTCAATGGATTGAGTGAGGGAAGCATTTTAGGAGGACTCAGGAGGCCCCTAGGGCCTAGGGTTTGCCATCAATTTTTGTACATCTTACCATCCTTGCAAGGCGATTAGAACCGCGGATGAAACATGTGGTAAAACCGTGGGAAAATTGAGATATATTATGTCAACATGGGCGAACGTTAGGTTCTGCGGGGAACATTTAAGGACTTTTTTCCCCAGGAAGCAGGGGACACCTGCTGGCAGCCTGACTAGGATGTTCCACCAAGGGACTTTCAGCAGTTTATCTGGATAGTTTTGGAACTTTGCGACTCTGTTCATGTCCTAGAAACGAAATGCCTTGGTAATCAGTGACTCTGCAAATTGCCGGATTGCCATTTGAGTAAGTAAAACACCACCCAGTTGGTCGATGATTCGTTCGAGGGTTATACTACCCAACATTTAGGGTGATGGTCACGTTTCATGAACTGGAGGTCCAAATGAACACCTTTTCCAACAGGTTTCAGATCAAATCATTTTGGTCAGTCTCCGCCAGGTCTGTTTCGAAAGCCTCACGAAGATTGGCTTCACCCTGCCTGGCGTTGCCAGCAAGGCGGGCTGTGATCCATACGATCCATACGGGATGGCTGCGGTTCCTAGCCCTTTCTGCTAGGAGCTTCTCCTGAAATTGCTGGAGGATGTTCATGAGGCCGGCTGGGAACAAAGACATTTCTGAAATCAACTGATGGCAATAGGAACTGGAAATATGGGGAAATTAATGGGGATTGATTAAACGTGCTGAACCACAGAGGATGATATTTCCTCCTCGAAGCTGGGATGTGATGGGGCAATCTTTAGCGAAGCTGATGGAGTTTGGGGATACCTTGCGGAATACCCACAACTACAATGGAAAGTTGGAGATGTACTAGCCATGCTTACTATCCAGATCTATCCAGTCATCCCCAAGATGTCAGCAGATTCAGTTGTGGCTATCCACCCACAATTTCCAGATATCTAAGGCAGCATGCTGAAAAACCCAGCCCTTCAGGTTTACGATGTGTTGCTCTCCTGTGTCGAGACCTATGAGTGGGTTTGGGGACCTCAACGGTGGAACTGGTCCATAGGGATCTTGAGGAAACTCAGGAGTTTTCCGTGAACTCACCAGCAACAGTATCTTAGTTCGATGTTTTCTCCATGTTCAGGTTTCCAAGGTATTTTGGTCATGTTGTTTTTAAAGGGTGGTTACAGAACAAGATTCCAACGTGTTTTTATTTTTGGGCTTATTCAAGGGTTCCATTTTTTTCATGGTTTTAATTAACATTTTTAACAATACTGTAACACCAAAAACATATATCAGCAATGACACAATAAAACACACTTATTACCCTAAATGGTAATTTGTTACATAGCTATGGTTAAAATCACCATTTTTCATGGGAAAATCACCATTTTTCATGGGAAAACTCACTATTTCTATGGCCATTTTCAATGACGCTAAGTCCCCAGGTGCAGCCTGGTGCCACCGGACTGCTGCGCTTGTGGATGCTGCAGGTGGTGGGCGGATACTCATGGGGGTATAACATGTCAAAAAAGTATGGGGAGAATTGGGTATATGAAACGGTATATATATATAAGATTATTCAATCTATCTTTGTACACTACAGCATATAACTATATATATATTATAGATGATATGACATAATTTATCTACAATTTATGATATTGTAATATACCAATCTATCTTTGTACAGTATATGTATGTTACAAAAATGGATGGGGATATGATGGGATACATGGACTAATGCAATTCAACTCTGGGTGCAGCAAAAACGAGAATTGCTATACCCTCTGTCAATCAAATATGGCTAGCTGGAGCACCCCCTATAAATGGGGGGGTTAGAGGGGTTTAGTGAGAGAATAACTGGAGAATTTTCCGAATGCCATGTTTGATTACCGGAAATGACCAGAATTCAACCAGATTCTTGGCATGGAAAGCTGTTGAAGGAATTAATGGTATCATCTCAATATAGGAGGGCTCAAAACCTATATTAGACACCATATATTTGGTGGAGCATCAACAACCAGGTATTTTGATGTGGGCGTAGCCATATCCGTTGCGATCATCGCTGATGATTCATGGATTTGGTGAAGAATTCAGGGGTTAAACCTGACCGGAAATGGGGTTTTTCAGCATCACCAGCCGGGCTGATTTGGCTCCGAGAGCGACGGGATAAACTGCCAATTTGGTGTCCGAGTCTGAGATTCTGCCAGGGCTCAAGGATGTTGGGTTCGTATTTGGGTGCGGCTAAAAATGGGGTAAACCGTGTAAACCCACAAAAACTCGGATTTTGGGGTACCATATATCCGGACCGACCCGTTTGGATTATGCATTTGCGGAGTTTGTCTACCCAACCGATATCTACATCGATTGATGGGTAGGTCCAAGATTCAGGCTGTACCGGATGGCTGGTCATTTTGAGTTTCCTGCAGCTTACATCTCATTTGTTGTGGTTAGGTCCTCAATTTTGATGGTGGAGAGAACTTCACATATCTTCACATTACATTGTATCCCACTGACATCGGTTCTACCTCCCGTAAACATCCCATCAACATCCATTACAATTGCATAAGAATATAGGTCTCCCAGATTGGAGGTTAATATCGATAAATATCCATTCATATCCATTCATAGTCATGAGATATCCATGAGATATCCATGAGATATCCATGAGATATCCATCAGTTTCCATAGTCGGCACTTGGGTTCCGTTGCGTTCAGGTCATTACAGCCATGGCGAGCCGCCAAGTGGTGGTTCTAGAGTGCGCTACGACCTCGCTGGATAACCCAAACATGGCATAAAATTCACGGGGAACCCGTGAACCTGCTGATCAACCATGATATGAATTAGGGGGTATCCTATTTGCAGACAAACCCAAAAACATCCCTAGGCAATCGGATCTTCATGTCATTTTCAAAGATAGACATACAGACATACAGACATACAGACATACAGGCATACAGACATACAGACATACAGACATACAGACAGACAGACAGACATACATACATACATAGACACACAAATACACACATACACACATACATATGTATATATATACACATACATACATACATACATGCATGCATGCATGCATGCATGCATACATACATACATACATACATACATGTATATATATATACATACATTGTAAATGGTAGAGAACTCTCTGTTGGAACTGCAGTGGTCTGATCAGGCTTTGAATGTAGGAAACTGTATGAAACCCTGTCCAATGAATGTCCCCTTCACCCAGCCAAATGGGAGCGCACTGTCTATGTTTTCTGCCCTGCCGCAA